CGTGGGGCGAAGCCAAGCCCTGGGAGGGGGATGTGTGGGGCCGTCCAGGCAGACGCTCGGCATCCCCCTCGATTGGCACACCGGCCTCACAGAACCTCCCGAAAAGGCCAAGGGGCTCTGTGCCCACACCCCTCAGGACCCTGCAGCCGGGCTGGCTGTTCACATGCTCTGGCTGTTGCTGACACTGCTGCTTGCCGCGCGCACAATTGCTGCTGGGGGCGAGGTGCCGCTGCCCCCTCTGCCCCAGCCTGGCTGCGGGCATTGCCCGGCACACCGGGACGGCATGGGCACTGCCTGTCGGCAGCTCACCCAGCCAGCCTGCCTGGCAGAGCTGGAGCCCTCAGCTCCCGTCCTGCAGCCTTTCTCCCAGCCCTGGGAACGCGACGGCCCTTGAGACGACGCAGCCAGGCACCGATAGAAACGATATTTTATTCCTTCCTCCCCTTAGGTCACAGCACAGAACGCACCAGTCCTTTACCACAGCAGCACAGTCGCCTATTTAAAAGGAAACACAATAGCTCCGTTTATTTTACAACAGTCAGGACTTTGCCATTTCTACACACCACAGGGATTTCTTTGTTTCGTGTTAACACCGACGGCACACTACGGACAGCACGGGCACTCCCAGGCGGGACACGCACACGGCCGATGCTCGGGGGCTGGGCTGCACGGGGTCTGCTCTGCCCGAGGCTCTGGAGCTCTCTGTGGCAGCCAGGAGGAAGGGAAGGGACTCGGTCCCCGAGACACAGTCAGGAGGAAGGGAAGGGACTCGGTCCTCGAGACACAGTCCCTCCACCTCGCACAGAGGGAACAGTGTGCTTCCCAGTGCCACCAAGGGATGCAAAGCACACAGGGACGCAGCCCACGCTGGGGGCAGGGCAGGAACCCCTCTCAAAACCATCCTGGTGGAGAAGAACCTCTTCCTGGCATGTGGACAGCCCTCGGACATGTTTCAGTGAAGCCCTGGGCGTGGCTGGGTGCTGCCCAGGCTGACCCTGCCTTGGCAAGCACCCATGACCAAGGCAGCAGTCCCCAGGCCCAGCCGAGGCCACGGCTCTGCATGCCCAGGAGCCTGGGAAGGGGCCAGGCTCACGGGTTTGCCTCAGATGCCTCCGAGCATCGCGTGCTGCCGCTTGCTGCAGCAGCTGGCATCCAGGGGGTGACAACATGTAACCACCACAGGACAACACACAGCACTGACACGGGTGGCCACGTCCTGAGCCATGCCACAGGGAGCAACAAGGCATCGGGAAGGGCAGGGAACCCCAGGAGGAAACACTGCTGCCCCTTCCCTGCCAGAGGCAAGCAAGAGCAGGATCTTTATTTCAGTCTCTGTTTCTCTTTAGCCCTCAGAGACTGTTTAACCTGCCCACCTGCATCTCGTGGGCAGGCAGAGCGTTGGTGAGGAGCTGGTTTGTGCTGGTTGGCAGGGTCACCGCCACGCAGCCGCCCTCTTTCACAGTGTCACCGTGCCGGGGGATTTCACGGGCTTCTCCGCCACCACGGCATCTGCTCACATTGAAAGCAGCATCCCACACCGACAGCTTGGGTTAGCCAGGGACACGGACAGGGAGCGGGTGAGAAAGGGGAGCTCCCTTCAGCCTTAAAGCCAGCACCTGGGTGCCAGCGCTGAGGGCAGCTGAGCCATGGGCCGTCCCTGCCCGACTCGCCCCACGCCACGGCTGCCCTCGGCTGGGGGTTATTGCTGAGCCTGCAGTGTGGGCTCCAGAGCCACGCCGGGCAGCCCCCAAGCACTGCCCAAAGCCAGCCGGGCTGAGCCACGAGCAGCCTCTGCGTGGGCTGCCCTGGGGCTGGAGCGGGGTCTGTGCCCCACAGCCCTGTCCCAGGGCTTGGGGGGTCCGGGGGGGCAGCACCTGCCTGCCAGTCGTACAGAGCCCAAATCACACGCACAGCACGAGAAAGGTGAGGAGAAAGTCACTATTACAACACCAGCAACGACTAGCCCTGGAGGGGCTCACATCAACGTTACACACCACTGGAGGCAGGGAGGACGGCGAGTGGAGTTAAGTTGGGTTAGTAAACAGAGAACTGGTGCTGAAGTACAGAGGGCAACACAGACAGGGCAGCTTCACGTCTCCTTAGAGGGACCTGTTGCTGCAATTTCAGTTTCCTCGCAGGCCGCTGGTACCTGCGGTCCGAGTAGCTGTCCTCAGGTCTCTGGGTCTGCAAGAGAAGGAGAATGGAGTCAGGCTGGGAGCAGCACCATCGCCTTTCCCTGGGCAGGGCTCGTCCACCCGCAGCACAAACCACGCTGCTGCCACCACAGGCTCCAGAATCCCCCTCTCGTGGGACGTGGGCCACAGCCCAGGGGCTCGGGGGAACTCAGACTGTGGGTAAGGGGTGAGATGCTCTCGCTCGGCTCTTTAGGGGCCTTAAAAACAAAATCAATTTGTGATGGTGAAGCCTGAAGAAAGAAAATGCAACACAAGGGAGAACCCGGATAGACGCTGCCCTTTCCTGCAGGGTTACCCGGAGCTTGCCAAGCACAGGACACCATGCTGGGCATGCAGCGGTGCCCAGCCCAGCAGACTGGTCTACTCAGAGCCCCACAGTCACCCCCATACACAGCC